CTAGCTAAACTATGAAAATGTCATGAGTATATGAACATGCATTTTAAAAGAAAAAAAATTCAGAAAGAAAACAAAAAATCTATCTATCTTAAACTTTTTACGTTCTTCGAAACGAATGTCTTACGGGGTATTGTTTTTTCTGTTATATCACCATTCCACACCATTCCACATTACCAATCAAAATATCTCATGAAGAAAGATTGAACGGTCAGTCAAATCCGAGAAGAGACTAAAAGAAAATCATGTTTCACTAAATGAAAATTTTAAAATTTTAAAAGACACGTCAATTAAACTAATCAATCTAAATATTTCATATTTACATTAACTTTTTGGGGCAATTACAAAAATGCCACTTTTTGTGTGCACATTTGCAAGAATGCCACTCAGAGATGTCAATTTACAAAAATACCACTAATTATAGATTTTTAAAGCTTATATCTTAAAATTCTAAACCCTAAAAAATGTTTTGACACTTAAAATCCCCTAAACACTCAAAACTAAACTCTAATAGAACATAATTAACCCAAACATAAATAATATAAAAAAAAATAATTTTGAAAAAGTGGCATTTTTGTAAAGATTTCAAAAATGTGGTATTTTTGTAAAGTGACACTTGAAAAATGGTATTTTTTGAAATTTTTCTAATTTTTAATGCCATGTTGGAACTCTTTTCATATTTACATTAATTTTTAACATAAACTAACAAATACATATGTTACTAATTTAAATCCAACCAAAATATAACATTTTAATATTTTAAATGTTATATCGATGAGTCATTTACCGAGGTCAATTACTTTATAAAAATTGTATTTATATCCATTTTGATACCATATATGATTGATCATACAATTATCTTTTTATATATCGTTTAGTTATATCCATATTACTCTTATTAAAATTATGTTTTCGTTATAAACATAAAACTTTACAAATCAAGATTAATGTTTGAATATTGAAATTCTTCATTTTCATTATAAATGGTTGAATCTGGAAAATAAATTATGTTTCATAATTCATAGCAATAATTTGCATTACTGTTTCTTATTTGGACAGTTTTTGGTGTATCTCCACCAATTTGTCCAGTATAGCAATAAAATGATCCTAAACGTTTTTAGATTCATTTCAGAAACATACACCAAAAAGAATCAGTCACACGCTAAGACAAAAGACGCCACAATCCTTTTCACATAGGCTAATTAAACCATTCAAAAGATGGCATTAACACAACAAAATCATTAGTAGCAAGAACCTAAAGGATTTATTTTTGTCGTTTATCTCGAGTTAATCAGAACCTCCTACATCTGCAAGCTTTGCGGAGAAATTCATTTTCTTGATATTCAATTTCATCTCCTCACCAAGCAATGCTTTCCATTCATCACTTAGCTCTTTTCCTTTCCCGGCTTCAAGGTTCCTTAGATTCTGAAGTAAGAACTTCTGGTGATTTCTACATGTACTTGGAAATAATAACAATGTCGCCTCGAGTGCGTCCTGCAGAACACAAAACTCATCCACACCAGCTATCTCACTCTTCTCTTTCTCACCATTATCAATGGTCTTCTTCTCTTTCTCCCCATTATCAATCTTTGTAATAATGTTACTCGCTCGCTCATGCTCCACATAAGGCACATCCTTATTCAAAACAAGAACAAACTTAAGATCATCACGCACTAGTAATATCAAAAACTTTACATAATGTTCTCAGATGGTACAACATAGGGAACTCTCACTCACCTCTGGTTTCTCCACATTCTCATTAATCTGCTCATGCTCCACATGAGTCAAATCCTTATTCAAAACAAAACATCGACGACTCATTAGTAAAATCAAGTTTTACATAATGTTTTGGTGAACACAAGGAACACTCACTCACCTTTGCTTGCTCCACATTCTCATTAATCTGCTCATCTTGCTCCACAGGAGTCACATTTTTATTTCAAAACATGAACATAATATCATTAACGCATTAGTAACATCAATGTTCAGAGATAGTAGAGTACTAAAGCAGATTGGTAGATCAAAAGCAAACACTGACTCACCTTTGCTTGGTCCATATTCACATTAGGATCACATTCTGTTTCATTATTCTTTCTCCATATGATCATTGACAGTTTGAAGATTTCATCGTCATCAATATTAGTAAAGGTCGGTCCTTTCCCATCGTCGGATTTAGCAAGGTTATCTGTAGATCTCTTCTTCAACTTTCTGGTCTTGCTCCTTAGCTGCACCTTTGAGAAGTCTGATACAATAGAACCTTTGATATAGCTGTAAAACCCATCCCAATCAGATCTGTAGCTCAATTTCGTTACATCTTCATAGTCCACAATACCCTTTTTCCACAATAAACAAAACCACAAAAAAAAGCGAAAAGTAAGAAACAGAGTAACGAAGAATATAAAAATAGACAAAAAGGTAGAGACTTTTTTAACAAACCCTGAGAATGAGGAGCTCGTCGTTCTTAGTCCAAGTAATCTTCGAACCAGCGGAAGAAGATACCAATTTCGGTGTCGGTGTCGTTGTCGTCGAACTCCTCGTTCTATTTTTTCTTAGAGCATCAGCATTAGAGACATTTTGTATGTGTCTTTAAATATAAAATTATTAAAAGTTGAGTAAAAGGAAGAAAGAGAGTGTTTTTGGTTGAAATAATGGGGTGTATTGAAATATAAAATTAATAAAATTTGAGTAAAAAGATGAGATAGTTGGTATTATTGGAGAGAGGATGTCTCGGGGAAGACAAAGTTGGAGAGAGAATGGATGAAAATTGGAGTGTGTTTAAATATAAAATTAATAAAAGTTGAGTAAAAGGATGAAAGAGAATGTATAAAGTTGAGTAAAAAGAAGAGAGAGTGTGTTTTTAATATTTTTTTATTTAGAGACATCCACATTTGGTCTCCAATTTGGATGGTCTTATGAGCCTCGCCTCCTTGTCACGCTTCCTCGTGAATTGAGAAGACGAAGCCTTAGCTAGGTCATTGACTCGGATTTCGAAGCGATTGGGGTTGGAGTCGTCAGAATCAATGGAATCCATGGAAACAGTGATCAAAGATGAAAACTTTGCAAGGTTTAAGAGATTTTGAGAGGATTAAAAACCCTAGCTTTAACCCCAAATTGAGAACCGAGTCTTTGCTTTAAGAAGCTAGAGAAAAAGTGCAAGCGTTTAGAGTGGACGTTGGACAATGTGCAGGAATTTCACGTCCGAATACGTCAATGACCAAATTACCCTTTCTCACATTCAGGAAAAAACCACCGGACGCATCAGAAATGGATAGTTGGATAGTTGGGATGCATGTGGGTTCGGTTGGTTCAAGTTTCTCGGTTATCCTTGTGATAATTATGCCGAATTGACCTGAACTAAATAACGGTTTGGTTCGGTTACTTTGGATATTAATTTTTTTTTTTGGTCGAATTGAACCGAGTTTTCCGAGTTTGTAATTCAAATTCGGGCTAACTCATATAATATCGTTATACACTAGTTCGTTCGGTTTCTCATTTTGATTTTTCTATATCATAATCAGACCAATTTGATTAAATGGGTCAACTCAAAGAAAAACAAAAACGAACTATTGGACCTCGGTTAAGTTGATCATGCCCAATAAAACAAAAACGATTCAGTTTC